CAGTATTCCAGTTTAACCCCATTTCTCCCCCCCACTTTTCCTCCCCATAATTACCCACGCGCCCACCCTCTCGCCAGCCCCCTCTTCTCTAATCAAGACAAGCCGCTGCTGTCCTTATCTTGAAACCGCCACCCAGCTACGGACCATTAGTTACATATTTGAACCAATAAGGAAACACTTACCGGGCGCTGCTGTCACTCTCCCTCTCTCCCTCTCTCTCTGCCTCTCTCTCTCTCCCACTCTCTGTCTTTCTCGTCTTCCCTCATTCTGTGCCGCTGCCGAGCCTGTCTCAGCTCCACACACACACATGTACTTTACATGAAATCAAAAATAAAAAAGAATAATCCCAATCATCAAAAAGCCAAGTAAAATTAAGCAGAGTTGCAAGAGGGGGCCGGAGGCAGTGCCGGGGAGAGGGGAGGGGCGGAGGCGTCGCGGCGCCCTATCTCAACTCCTGCTCCCGCATTCCTCCTGCCCCTTGGGGGCCAGAGGGTCGGAAGGGAGAGGGGGATGCCCCCAACTCCTGCCTCTCTCCTCCCCTCCCCGCCCTCCCTGGGTGCCCCCAGCTTCGGCAACTCCACCTGGGAGGAAAAAAATGAAATGGGGGGAAAATAATTATTAATCAGATTAATAAAAAAAATTACTGGTAATGAAGGGAGCGCCCAGCGCAGGTTTCCCTGGCAATGGTTAGGCTCTTACAGGGAGGACTGTTCTGCGGAGCGCTCCGAACGGACAAACCACAATAAAAAGTTCACGTTCATGGATGGAATCCACATGACTTCTTGTGGCCAATCCAACTTGTGAGTCGATCGTAAACTTTTATTACTCAGCTGTAAATTTTCTGCAAACAACCGGGAATGCGATGCATTTGTGTAGCGTGTGCAAATGGGCGCCGCGGTCGCCATGTTTACCCAATTCTCTCAGAGAGGGAGCATCCCCGGACCCCCACCCCCACCCACACCCACCGCCCACCGCCCACTCCCCACGGGCCGGGCTTCTCTGGACCAGCGTGGAGAGAGCTGAGGGCGGAAGCGGGGCATCAAGAAGGAAGGTTTCAGGCGCTGGGGGTCGGCTGCCTCCCCTTGCTGAGCCGAATTTTAAATATTGTCCTCAATAAATGGGGTATTAAGATTGGATCTGGGGTATTCAAAGCTTTGCAAAGATTTGTGGCCTTGGGGCAGTGACGGCTGACAAAATGACGGGACTGAAAAGGGATTCTCTCCCTACCCCCCCACCTTTTTTTCTTGGAAGAGAGAACATCCTCCCTATGGGATGCCCCGAAAACTCCCACTCCAGACAGGAACAGGAGTGGCAGGCCGCTGGCAATCTCCTCTCCAAGCCTGACCTGGCCGTGGTCTGAAGAGCCGAGAGGATTAGACCAGCCCTGGGCAATCCTGCAGCGGCAGCAGGAGGGGTGAGAAATTGGGGCAGCCTGAGGACCCTCAAAGCCACCTTCATCCCCAGATCCTGTTGTTAGAGAGAATGACATTTTCCTTCAGGACCATCTTTGGCATCAGGTCTCCTCATTTCCAGGTTCAAATGGCAGCTTACTGGAAATCCTTTACAAGTAAAAAAATTTAAAAACCCGAAGGCCCAAGATCTTGGTCCTTTTACTTTGGGGTGCAAGGCACTTTGAAGCCTTTTTTTTTTTTTTTTTAAATCTTGTCAGGTTGCCTACACCCATCTGCCCTTTTTCAGAAATTTTTCCTGGTTCAGTGGTGTCCCGGCAGCTGGGACGTGCTCCCGAGGCCCTGAAAAAAGAACCTTTTCCTGCTCTGAATTCCACCTTCTGCGCTAAAATTCCGAGCACGCTGTTTCTTAGACCCATCATTGTGGTGGCGAGTCCAGTGTGGGGAACCCCAGAATAAATGTCCTCTTAGCGACTGTTTGCGGGGGGCAGCAAACAGCCCGGTCACTCTCCCACCGGCTGGAGATTTGAAGGTCGGCAGTTCTCGACTCAGTCCCGCATCCGGCTGGCATGGAAGCCTTAGTGGCTGGGTGCCCCCACCCCAACCGTCAGGGGATCCCTTATACCTTCCCCAAATTTCCTCCACAGTAAGCCAAGCAGTTCCCCTAGCCGGATGCAGGGACCTCGTATCTTTTACAAACCCACCCATAAATTTTATAACAGGTAGTTAAAAATTACGACGAGGAAGCGCTGGGCCAGCTTTTCACAATGGGCAGCGGGGAGAATAAGACGGCACTGCGGGCAGTTCACCGGAAATTTTACTTCTCGTCTGTGGCACAACCTGTCCCAAGGAGTTCTCTCTAATTGGGGTGGGGGGCAACTTTCCCAACTGCGGTGGCTGGGGCATCGCATTCAGGGAAGATAAGATTGGGGAGACCAAGCCACTCTCCCATCCGAGGGTCCCCCCAGGAGCCCATCAGGGCACTCCCTTCCTCCCCGGGCCCCCACCCCCAGATCTTTTGCAGGCCAGCACCTCCCTTGGCCTCTGCAATGAAGGAGTAGAGAGAGAATTTTTTCTAATCCGGAGAAACGAATTTGCCCCCCAAGTTAATAGCTGCATTATCCCGTCTCTTCGGTTGAGATTAGAATAATAAATTCAAGGCGCAATGAGCGAGATGCTTCAACTCAGCATTTTGAAAGATACTATTTTTCACAAATCACAAATAGCTTTCGGAAGCCACTTTGATTGGCTAATAAAAAAGTAAAGAATGGGAAAAAGTCCTATCTGCAGCCGCCGAATGGTCCCCATTCCGGTAATGGGACGGCGGGAGCATTTGGGAGGGCGCGTTTCTAAAGAGAGCGCATCCCGCTCGCAATTACGTTCCCCCATAAAACGGATTTTTACCTCCTTTTCTTTCCAAACGAGAAAACAGAGGCAGTGGGCATGAGGGGCGGGGGCGTGGGTACTGCTTGAGCGGGTGGCTGGGGCTCCCTTGGTCTGGCCCTCCATGCGCCTGGCATCTCCAGGGAAGCCGGGCGCCAGACGCACCCCGCCCTCCGACGCGCTGGGCGTGGGGCCACGGACATTGCCGAGCAGGAACAGGGATGAGCCGGACACTTGGTGTGGGGAAAAGACGGCGAGCCCCTTCGGAGACACTTAATGCTAGGTTCATCCCCCTGGGCTACTGGGCCAGATATGTTTATTAATAGCAACCATAATTCCACATTTAAGAATGAAACGGCCTCGGCCGGCCCTCGGAGTACGAAGGGCACGGCCCACGGGAAGGCCCGAGGTCAGAGCAAACGCTGTCTTTTCGGGCCTCCCGGGGGGGGGGGGGTTAGCCATGTTTCCCACAGCAAATGGGGTTACCTGGCTGCCGCCTCAGCTCACAGCAGGGACCCCAGGTTCCGGTAGATTTCCCCACGATCCCTCTCAAAGCTGTCCCCAGCTGCCCACAGTCTGTGCTTCCCTGATGCAGCCTCTCTCGGGCTCCAGGAGTCCCTAAGAGTGAAGCCTGACCCAATCCTGTACTCAGGACCACTTTGCGTGGAAGCCAGGGACTGGGACCCGGGTGAAACTACACACAGCAAAACTAGCTCTGGGCCTAGATCTGGGCAAAGCATTGACCAGGAGACGAACACAGACACAGACACAGAGAAATCTGGCCTCAAAAATATTTCAGTCTTTGGGGGGTCTGGTTTTTAAGACCAGAAGATCCCCTCCCCTCCCCTTTTCCCCCTCTCCTGGCTGAGTCAGAAGACTTGTATCTCTGGAATTTGGGATTATTTGACCAGAATCTTATTGGCATAAACAGATTTTTCAGTCTAGGACTCTCCAGAGAGAAGTGAGAGACCCCTTTGCTCTCTGGGTCTCTGAGCCTTCAATTCTTTATTTTTGGGGGAATGAAGATTGCAATGGAGACTCTCCTTACCCTGCTGTGGCTGGGGTGGGGGACTGTCCACTCAGCAGGCCCATGGCCCACACTTTGGGGCCAGGCAGGCTGCCCAATTGCCAAGGTGAAGCAGGGAGCGGGCTTGAAGCAGCCGAATAGAGGCTGGAGTGGACACAAACCGGCTGAGTGACAGTAATGGCTCTGTGCCGACCTACCACCGAATTTGAATTTCAGGATGTGGACTCAAGTTGGTTGGTCCACCAGCTCACTTATGGCCCCTTCCCTTCGCCTCTCCTCCAAGCTCAATCCCCAACACCCCCATGCTTGGTACCCCAGCTTGAGGTATCTCCCAGCCTCACCCTGCAGACAGGTCACACATCCCACAGACTGTTCACCATTCCAGGGCTGGGTGCTGGGTGTCAAGGGTTGGCCATCAGGGCCATGTGGAGATCAGAAAGAATCCCACTGCCCCATCCTCAGCCCCGGCCCCAAGAAGAAAAAGTCGTAGCTGCTCGAGTGGCATGGGCAGATTCTTTGTCTGGGCCCAGCCCAGGGCTGAGGAGGAGGAGGTTGGGTGACTGAGGGTATCTTTCTTCCCAATGGGGTCCTGGCATCTAGAAACCCACTTTATTTGGAGCCGCGATTCCCCAAGAGCATATCAATATGCCCTTTCCTCTCCCAACCAATGGACTAATCTTCTTCCTCTTCCTCTCAACCCCCAGCCCTTTCACCTGCCCTCTCAACTCCCAGGCTTCTTCCCATGTGAGTTCCCCCACCCCAAGTCACATCAGTGGAGCAAACCTTTTCCAGAGTTTTGGGTAAGGGGATAAAGAGGGAGGGGGAGAGAATAGGGAAGAGCTGTGGAGAAAAGGCAAGTCATTCCAGCATCATATTTTTCTCCTTTTTTTTTTTATTATGACTCACGTATACAATACAAAGTACTTGGACCAGGAACAGGGCTGTCGGGACACAAAATCTACATTCATAGCTGGACGTAAAGACAAATGACCAAAAATTATTATTATAGATATATTTTTAACGTTTTTTTTTCTTTCGAGCACATTGCATAAACAGAGAATTCAAGACAGAGTTAACTATACATTCAGTGCAATTTCGTTCTACTCTACTGGGGTTAGAAGCACAATAAAAGCGCACAGGACCAGCGGGCTAGGCAGTCTCAGTTGTTGGGTTTTTCTTAGTGAAATAAGCAGCAACAAACGACAACAAAACCGCATTACGAATACTCTCAAAGCAGGATTTCTTTCTATAGGTAGTGATAAAATACGCTGGAGGTTTCTTTCTTTCTTTTTTTTTTAAATTTTTCATTTTTTTCCTCTTTTTTTCTCCTGTAATAGGATTTTTAAAAATTTCTTTTCTTCAAGATTATTGCAGGTTCCCTTTAGGTAGTATGTTAAAGATTTATTATCAGTATTATTATTATTATTTTCATGATTATGGAGATGTCTGAGCGCTAACACGAATGCAGCTCAGAGGAAGCCGGGCCCAATAGGACAGAAATCAAACATCGAGGGAGAGGAAGGCATGGGCCCGAGTGGCCATGGAATGGCTAGGTAGGATTTTAGAGGTGACTGCAGGCTCCTCTCTGCCCCTATGGAAACGTGGGGGGGGAGGGGAGAGACCCACATCTCTTCAGGTCTCCATCAGGTTCCTGGAGAAAGTCAAGGGGGTTTTTCTACGCAGGGAGCCCCAGGGAGGGGGAGGGGATATGTCTTGCCATCTTTTCCCTATTTCTTTAACAGTTTCCTTTTCCTTTTCTTTTCTTTCCTTCTTCATTTTTCTCTTTCCTTTTCCTTCTTTTTCCAAAGTAAATATAGTACACCGATCTTAGAATAAAAACAAAGCCACAAGTCCTCTTCCACATTTGAGGGGCTCCCTCTAAAATAAATACCAGCTAAGCAGGGAGGTGGGAGTGTGGCAAGAAGGGGCAAAGAGAAGGGAGGAGGCCAGGTCTCAGACCTTAAAATTCAGGAAGGCTCAGGGGGTGGGGATAGGGACAAGTGTGTGTGTTGGGGCCAGGAGTGAGACAGAGAGTCCGAACTTTTCTTTGCTGTGTCTCGGTCTCCCCCCTCCAGCCCCCAAACAAATAAAGAGCAGGGGAAGTCCAAAGGTAATAAAACCAGAGCTGCAAGTATCTGACAGGTAGTTAGAGTTGTGAGTGTCATTCTATTCTCTATAAAAGCAAATGACAGTCGTAAACTTCTCAATTTATCTGCTACCATAAAACGAAACTTCAAGGGAGTTGCTAAAAGGGGGGGTCTCTCTTTTTTGCTTAGTCCTTGTTTTCTTCCTTTTCCTCTTCTTCTTTCTCCTCTTCCTCGTTTCCTTCTTCCTCCACCTTCTCCTCGTCTCGGGCTCCCGGCAGTTTATCTTTGTTGTTCTCCTTTTTCCACTTCATCCTTCGATTCTGGAACCAGATCTTCACTTGTCTCTCGGTCAGTCCCAGGGCGTGAGAGACTTCAATCCGGCGCTTTCGTGTCAAATAAGGATTAAAGAGAAACTCCTTTTCTAGTTCCAAGGTCTGATACCGGCTGTAAGTTTGCCGTCCGCTGCGCCGCCCCGGAGCTGGACAGAACAAAACCCCAGTCTGGTTATATCTGGGTGGGGGCTCGGATTTCCCCTGCCACTCTTCCTCCCTAAAGTTCCCCTCTGGTCTCCCCAGTTCTCCTGCCTTCTGTGGGAAAGGCAAGAACAGGAAACAGACAAGGGCAGGAAAGTTTGGGGGATTGTTTTGGTTTGGTTTCACCTTGGGAGGTGGGGTGAGAGTTGGGGCTGGGACTGGGGTCTGTTTGGAAACTGGGGACCTGCAGGGGCCAGGGAGCCCTGCGCCATCCCCCCAGGCCTGCAATCCCAGGAAACTGGCCCTTGCAGCTTTGTTTACAAGTGCAGGGTGGCATTTGGTGAGCAGGGCTGGGGACAGTCTGTTTCCAAAAGAAAGGAAAAAGAGCTGGGGGTGAAGGAGAGGGCTCTACCCACTGCCCCCTCCTCTGCCTAATGCTTTTCCAATAAGAAAAATTGATCTGCTGGAATGCATCGCCTCTCCGCCTGCTTGCTAACTGGAGACCAGCAAATAAATCATGGGCCATCCCCGCCGGAACTTGTGCTCTGCGCTTCCCCCTGTACTTCGAAATTGGGCCATGAGGGGCCACCCTTGGAAGGGCTGATGACCTGAGCATTCTGCAGGTCTCGGGGAGACTCCACAAGCCCTTGACTGGGGGGAGTCTGGCGAGGGTCCTCTGGACCTCAACCCCCGGTCTGCACGGCCCCTTTCCTCATGAGCACCCTTTTACATTTTCCTCCTCCCTGCTCCCCAGCTGGGGAAGTCCAGAAAAGTTGGGGTAGTGGCCCTCAGGCTAGTTCTCTGAGAGGAGGCAGTGGGTACCCCAGAGAGCCTATCCCTGGAGTCTCACGACTCTCTGGCTAGGGGAAGGAGGGAGGGGTCTCCCTTCGCCCCAAGACAGCCTGGCCACTGCCCTGGACTCCAGGCTCTGCCTTTGGGGAAATTGGCTTGCCCCTAAGGCTGCTAAGCCCTGGGTGCTCAGGGTACCATTCCAGCCACCTCCCCAACTTTGACTTCAGAGATGGGGAGGGCGAGAGACAGACAGACCGACAGAGATGGGGGAAATGACTCTAAACCCTTTGCACCCACATGCCACCTTTCCCCCACC